GTGTCTCTCTGTGGGCGCGTGTGTATATTTTAATGATCAGCCGCCGCATCCGGGCAACCCTTTTTCTCCACGGCGCGCACCACCGGCATAAAATTCCGCAATGGCACGTAGGCGAGATAAATTATACGTCCCGCACCAGCAATGGAGCAGAGGAAATATTTACCGCAGTAATAAAATATGTATCGCACGCAGGAGGAGGAGACACAATTCTGTCCTTTTGCATATGTACATTTGTAAATAATATTTTCGTACGAAAGAGGAAATGCGTTTTTCGCAATTAAAATTTATCTCAGCCGTTGATTGGCGCGGTTTCCTAGCTGGTATAAAAGGGGGACGCAGCTTTTCCGATAAATGAGAGACAGAGGCGAGTTTCGGGCGTCGGAATGCGACGAGCTTTGATTTCGCACTTTCGCCGGCGCCTCTATGCAAATGTGGAATGTTTAATTAAGTCGGGGACCCCAGATCTCACTCTCTCTTGCTCCTCTTTTGAGAGGATTCTTATCTCCGCAATAATGGCATAGCTACAGTTTGTGAGATCAAAGTCACGTAAATTAAAAACTGACGCATTGACTCTTTTCGGAATATTATCGCGTCATCGGTGTTTTCAAGAGTTTGTTTACTGATACGAGCAAAAGGCGCAATCACAAGTCCGTGACGTCTCTGTTTGCTCCGACAATTGTCAATTGGTTTAGTTCGAGTGCCCAGCACTTGAGAGTGCAAAATCAAACTTGCTCTTAACTACTTTGGCAAACCACAATGTTGCAGTTTTGATTAAATAAAGTACTAAATATCAGACCAATTATTAAGTTCAATTTATTTTATTTTCCTCCAAACAATTCAGAACAATCAATTGTGAAATTGGTTGATAAAAAAACAACTACTACTGATTTTTTTATAAAATAGTTAAATATATTTATTTTTTTTAATTTTTATTTGTTTAAAACGCTTATTTATCATTTTCTTCATTAATCTAAGCTCTGGTAAATTCACTGAAATTTTTGCTTCATTGATGTCATGTTCATAATTCGATTTAATTTCATACAATTATTTCATTAGTTGGTTCTTGAATTTCAATAAATTAATCCGATTATATATTATGTGCTTTCGTCAGGCTTAATTAAATTTCCCAATTTCAATTATTCTTTTTTTCTTGCCGCTCAATATCATAAAGGCATTTTTATATTAAATAAATTCAGCAATATTAACGTAAATTTGCATTAATTTGGAGAACATTTTGTTAAAAAAAAACTATCATTTTGCTTTTAACATTTAACAGTTTTTATTTTAAGTGTTTATAAAAATTTTAAGTTGTCATCACTTGTCTGTATCAAAGTATTGCACTTGACGGCCCATTGAAGGCACAGCAGGATTCTTTCTGTGCGATTTATCGTCTATCATCATTACGGCTCCTTATTTGGGCATCTCTCTCTCTCTCTAACGCTGATTTTCAATCGAGCCGAGTTTGGCGCGCGAGCGAGCGAGCGAAGAGCCAGTCAGACAGAAGTGAGCCGAGAGAAGACTGAATTATTTCGCACGACTTCATAAATCAGTGAGTCAGGCATGACGCAAAAGCATCCGAGCGACGTCATATCTCACCTTCGTCTCTCTCGGTGCCTCCTCTTTGTAATTGATTTAGGAAGTCGAGGCGGCGCACACCGGCGCATCTTCCATTATGCTGCTGCCAGACGGCAGGTTCGATTCGATTATTATTGTTGTGGATCACCATTGAAAAGGTCTGCGCGCGAAGTAATAAAAATCCGTGCCGGCTGTTTCGCGCCGAGTACAATGCTTAATTTTTTTTTCACTCGAGACACCACGTGAGTGAGTCAGCCTCTCTCTCGAGAGAGAAAAATGATGTATTTTTCAACGGGTGCTGCTGCTGGCTGACCAATTTTCGCATGCACAAAATCTTATCTGTCTGGCCGCTGTGTGTCCTCGTTATTTTTTCCCAGGGGAACTGCACGAATACTCAAATTTTGTTGAAAAATTACAATATAATTAAATTTTTGTTTTAAAAGTGTTACACAAATAATTAATTTAATTCAGAAACGTATAGGAAATTTTATATAGATTTTTTTAAAAAAATCTTAAACTTGGAGTAGACGAGTTGGTTAAAATTTGTCAATGGCTCTGGCAGACTTGTTTTTAATAATTATTCCTTTATTTCTAATTCATCTTGCGATATTCATACGTGAAATAATGTGCCGAATAAAGCATAATTTTGGCAGTTAAGAAAGTAATGCACAATTGACTTTAAATTAACTACTGCTCTAAATAAAAAGACCTTGGAACTTCCACCGAAAAGTTGATACAAAACTTACAACTTTTTGTGGTCATATTTAAGCAATTTTAATAATTTGTTCATATTTTATGTAATTAACTATAGCTTAACTAGTGTAAAAATTAAGAAATTGCCACTTACAATTAGCATATTTTTTCTCTCCATAAAAGATGGCTTTACCGCACTTCACTCTCAATAAAGCAATAAAAACTTAAGATTTTGGAACATAAGAGAATTTAGAAACAATTTTCATTCTTAATTTCTTCCATTTTCAATAGTTCTCATTCTGGACTGGCTTTGGTAAACGTCTTAATTTAATTTGAATCTTCTTGAAAGAGTGTTAATTAAATCTTCAATTAAATTAATTTTTAACCAGTTGACTCTTTGCTCTGAAATTTGGTCGCTCGTGATTTGCACTGTTCCCTTCTGCGGAGGAGACGTGCGCAATTTGGCATCACTTTTCGGCTCGGAATTCGGTCGTTGTTTGAACAAGCGCATAAACGCTCGCAAATGACGAGCTAGAGAGGCCGAAGAGGATTTATGCGAGCGGCGCTATGTTTGCGAAAAGATGTGCGCCCAGGCCTAACTTGACTAACTAAGTGAGCAGGGCCGGAGCTCAGCGTGTTGCAGATTGCGGCAAAAAGAGCTGGATTAGTTTAGCCGGCATAGTAGACTTGTGCGTAAACATGGTGTGCTAGGCCGAGCACCATCGCAGCGCCGGCATCAGGGAGGAGGGTGGCCCGTTTCTTTGCTTTTTATTCTGCAAAAGCAATAAGGAGCGTCTAGCGGAGGAGAAGTTGCACACGAGGCGGCGGCGGCGGCGGAGGAGATCTTTCTTTCTCGCTCGCTCTCTTTTCGCCATCTAACAATTCGCGATATCACCACTGAAAATTTCAGCCGTCGCAATGAAACGCCGAGTACAAAGTTTGGAATGAGGAAAATGGCACAGGCAGCCTCTCCCAGGAGCAACAACTGTTACGCAATTGATCAGGAATGTGAATCTCATCATCGGCTAGGTCACATTCCTTTCTTCACTTTTTAGCACGAAAGCAAAAAGTGGAGAATCTTGCTTGCTCAGAGGTCCTGTTACTTCGGTTTCTTTGACAGGGCATTTAACCGTCTTTAATGCTTGATTGGTGATTAGAATTACAGAATTTCGCCATTTAATTGACACATATTATCAGGAATTGACGACTTGTGATTCCAATAGTTGGACGAAAAGTGACAATAATTATCGCTACGCACTTTATTTGGTCATCAAATATTTTTTATTTCAAATTCAACTTTAACTATCAGCAGTAAAGCTTAAAAAAAAAATGTTGAAGAAAATGCTTAAAAACCCCATTAGAGGAGCAAATCAAAAGCAGCAGTCGTTGACAGTATGATCATCAGTATTTGTGAAAAAAAAGTGAGCCTCTCTTCATTAAACCTAAAATATCAATTTTTTTGTCTTTAAAATAAATTTATAGATTAAATTTTCAGGCTTCTCCCTTAGCAAATCAGCATCATAGCTTCTCGGAGATCTATTAATTAAATGAATAAATCAATTTTATTCCTTTTGTTTTAAAGATTCTCGACACATCTGCAATTAAATTTGAATGTTGTTAGTAATAGATAATATTCAAGGAAGACACTCAACTTAAATTCCTGGATATTGCAAAACAACTTTATCAAATAAAAATATCGTAGAAATTTCAAAATTTGGTTCGCAAACTATTACTTTATTTCTAAAAACAGCTCACAAATTATTCTTTGTCTTTTATTTAAACAATAATTTCAGGCTTTGAATACGATTTTTTTTTAAATATTTTGAGCTGCATATATTTTAAAAGAAAATTTTTATTGTTTAGAGAAATTGGACGCATTTCTTTTTTTGATTCATTTCACATTCATTCTTAGATCCAGTTAGCATTAAATATATATGCAAATAAGCTCTTCTATCTGATTACGGATGCATTTTTTATATTGATCTTTGCAAAGAAGCGATATAACAATATCAAACAGTTGGGAGCAGAGGTCATAAGACAGAGTGGGATCGACACCCTCCCTTGTTTCCGGTGCCTCTTTCTCTCTCTCTCTCTGCATCTGTCGCGCCGCGCTCTCTCGCTCGCTAATTCGATTGCCCAAATGCCGCTATTATTGGCTGCATATTATTAATGTCGAGCCGACTGAGCCCATCGATCGCGATTCGGCGGGCGGGCGCGCGCGTTTGGTGCCAAACGAGTGACGCTCCGCGACGGGCGTCCGACGCCGCTCCAGACAGCAGCCGATCCACCCACCCCCGCCGGGGTGAGCGGGGTCGTTAGCGCACGCCTCTCTATCTCGCTGGCAAAATCGCCGGGGGATTAATAAATATCTTAAATAAATTGGCGAGAGGCCCTGCTTTGGGGGCAAATGAGAAAAATAATTGGCCGAAACAAGACTGAAAGGTCACTGATTTTGCATTTGTCAAGCTAATGACGGAGAACATTGCAAAACCTTTACTGACATGATTAATTACCATTAGACTTGATATGGCATCAACCTGAATAAGAAATGAAGCAAATAAATAAGCAAAGTGTTTTTATTATCTGAACCGCCTGAATTAAATAAAACTTAATTTCAAAAGATATATTTTTGCTATTCGATTCCGTAATTATATTTTATAATAAGTAATTTTATAAAAAAAATATATATTATTTTTAAATCCACCAAAAGTTTAAAAGAATTCTGGTCTTACCTTGCTGAAGTATCCAACGGTGTGACAGCCTTCCGCGTCAGCCGTTGTCATCACATAAAACAAAAACGGCTCCACTTCATTGTACAGAGTTTTATGGTCCAAGAAAAACTTTGCTAATAAACACAAATTTTGACAAAACACTTTGTACTTCTTGCCGTCCACTTCCCACACTGATATTTTTTCCTTTCTGCAAAGTTTAAAAAACAAAATTAAAATTTGATCATTTAAAAAGAAAATTTGAATCTACCTGTACACTTCCTCCCCCGGCGGATGCCGCCAAACGCACTTGGTCAAATGTCTTTTCAGCACAATTCTAGTTTTCATGTATCGTAAACAAAACTCGCACAGGTATAATTTTGGAAGGCTTGCGTACTCCTCGGGGTACGGGCTTTGGTACCACACCTCCATGTCAAACTTGCCCATTTCGATGTACTTGGTGCCTTTGTTGCTGGGCAGACCCTTTAAGTCGTCCTCCTGGGGACAATTTTATAAAAATTGTGCGAGAAATTCAAAAGTGTCCTAACCATTTTGTCGCTGGCAGCAGCTTGGGCTTCCATGAACAGTCTGAGATCATATTCGGAAGCAACGTTGCCCAGTTTCGGCTCCCTGTTGAAGTCGACCAGACTTTCGTTGAGACTATTGGACGAGTCCACCGTTGAGGAAAGAGCAGAAGCTTTATCTCTCGAGTCTTTCACCTTTTGCTGATATGCCTTTTGATCCATAGACTGAGTTCTGCCAGGCGACTTTCGACCCAGGCAAGTCAGAGCTCTTCTCCTCTCATCGTCATGCTTTTTCCTCTCCAAATACATGTCCTGAAATTATATAACTTTTATTATTCTCTTCTAAAAAGTAAGGCATTTTTAGAAAGAAAAAAAAAATTAACCTCTAATCCCATAATATTCTTTTAATAATAAAGTTTTCAAATTGATTATTCTAGCTTGTATCTGTCTGTGGTAAAAATTTTAATTACTTACATAGCACTGATGAGGTTTCAAATTGTGAAATATTGGACAGGCTTCGACGGTGAAATGTTTGTCATGCCTTCCACTCAAATGACCACTAGAGTCGCAATTTCTGACTGGACACTTGCGTTCCTCTATTGGAACAACGACGGTGCTTATTTCGGCACTACTTGCTGGACGACCTTTGCCTTTCTTGGTCACAGATCGCGCTGGAGCTTTCTTGCCTGTAGGTACTGCAGCAGCTTTGGAGGGCTTCGAATCTGCTGATATTAAATTACAAAGATTATAAATATTTCATTCATTAAAAGAAAAATTTCTTATATAGACACTTATAGAATAATTTAAAAATCACGCAGTAAAAATGTAATTTGGAAATAAATTATATGTTTATGAATGATTGACGGAGATTAATTTACTTCGTCGGACGTTTGAAGATCTGGTGAGTTTCCGTGTGACTGGCTGCTTGGTCGGACTCGTCTCTGTGTCACTCCCAGAAGCAGGTGGTCGACTTGCATTGTTTTTTGAAGGTGATTTGCTTTGAGGTGTTGGTTTCTTCGGGGGTCGTTTTTGTGGAGTGGCAACAGCTAACGTGCTTGATTCACTATCCGAGCTGCTGTCTGCAATTTAAAAGAGTTGTATTAGAATCAAAATTTATGATCAATTATATAATAGTTTCTAAAATTTTGTTTTGGGTTTAATTCAGTTTTATGTGTCAAATTTACAAATCCCTAAAACTAAGAGATTCATCTTTTAAGTATTACCAGAAGAGCCTGAAGATCCGGTGGTTGAGGAAGTACTGTATCTTGTGTTTCGTCTAGGTGGTGGTGGTGCCGGCTCTTTGCTTTTGCTCGCACTTGAGGCCGCCTTAATAGGAGGCTGTTTCTTGATGGCACCATTCTTATTTTGGGCAGGAGTCGACTTGGACGTACTTGCTTTGACAGAGACCTCGGGGGTGTCACTCTCGCTGCTGTGCTCTGGACTGAAAATGCTCTTGGTCTTGGGCTGCGCTTTGAAGGGTATTTTGTTCGCATTGGCCTTGCCCTTGGGGGTGGACTTGGAGGCGGGGGCGGCCGCCTTGCGGAGGAGAGGCGTCACGGTGGCCGTCGCCTTGGGTTTGGCGGGCACTTTGCGCTGTTTGCTGGAGCTGTTTGTGTTGGGCTTGACCTCGACCGACTCGTCCGAGTCCGAGGTGTACGCCGGCTTGCTGTTTGCCTTCTTTTGTCCCTTCTTGTCAGAATCTGGCGCCGATTTCGCCGGTGCATTTTTACCCGCGTTTTTGGCGGCAGGCGTCGCTGTCTTTTTTGGCGGTGGTTGCGGCTCCGAATCTGTCGAGTGACCGCGGTTTTTGACGCTGCGAAGGCTCCTCTGCGACGGTGCTGAGGACCCGTCCGAGTCGGAAGAGCTCGAGTCGCTCCCTGAGGAGGAAGAGGAGCTTGAGGAAGATCCAGAACTATTGCTGGAGCTCCCCGACTCCGAGCTGCTGCGAGCCTGAAAACGCCGTTTTGAATTAAATGGACCGATTCGTTCGGGCAAAACTATTTTCATACCTTTTTCCGACTCATCTCGAGCAGACCTTGCTGTCAAAAATGCTTTCAAACGCGTTTATCTATCAAAATATCGACTTTTTTACAGGTAAATACACTAACCAAAACAAAAGCCCGCCATGTTGAATTAATTACCAACCTAAAAAAGTGCAAACGATCCCAGCCGATTCTCCCGCGCTCTAGAAAAAAATTTTGTTCTGCGAATTTATCATCAATAATTTTAAAATTAATTATAAGTGATGCGATTAAAAGAAATTCTTAATTCGTTCTTCACAAAATTTGTGATCAAAATTTTGTCTTTTGAGCTTTCAAGTTGTCACAAACTCCATCGATTTTGATGGATGTTGGAATGGTGGAACGTAGCCATGGAACACAATAATCAGGCATGTTCGATGGTGATGGTAGTGATGGATGGTACTATATGGAGCTAATAATTAAATTATTATTAAATAGTAAATCAATGGATGGTACCAATGGGAAGTAGTAGATCAATCATCAAGCTGCAGATTATAAGTTGCAAATTCAACACTGTTATTTTAATTACGGAGAAAAGTGGAGGCCGAGTTTCATAACAACAGAATGAACATGAACATTTGCGAGGGCAAACGCACTGATGCTCAACAGCACCGAAGAAACCTCGGCCCTTCAGCCTACGGGAGCAGGAGACCCACCTGAGATGAGGCGCAGGTCCGGCTCCTGGTCTGGGGCCAACGAAAGCGAAGATGGTAAACATTATTTTTACTCTCGCTTGAAAATCAAGTTTAACTTGTGTGACATTGCAGAGTTGGAGGCGATGAATTTGGAAAGAAATCGCAACCATGCAGCCAATCAACTGCAATGTTGCTCATGAGAGCACCACCAGAGACCAGAGTTCAGTTTCCCAGGCAGAAGATAGATTCGAACCCAAAAAAACATTTTCTTGGCACTAAAATGCGCAGGAAACTTCGCTTCTTTTTCATGAACCCGATTGAAAAGTGGCAGGCTAAACGAAGATATCCGTACAAGTTCATTGGGCAGCTCATAAAAATTTTCCTCGTCAGTGCTCAGGTATTTAAAAACTTAAATGCGGTTTTTATAATTTGTTACAAAATTTAAAAATTACAGCTGTGGTGGTTTGCGAAGAGTAAATACACGCACATAAGCCTACACCTGGGACAACAGAGGATTGCCTTTTCCCACCTTTTCTTGCGAGACTGGGATCTGATCAGGGAGGTTGTTTTTTTTTTACAATTTTGTATATTATTATTTTTAATATTTAATATAGTATTATTATATTACTAGGTTTAAATTTTACTGTAATGTAAATGATAAATTTTTTGGGTTAAACCATTTAAACAATTTTTGTTAGATTATTTATGCTAACAATAAGGTGGAAAATTTTTAATTTGCTACCATCATTGAAGTTTTAATTCAAAAGTCTTTTAAACAGAAACACACAGTCCGTGGATTGTCTTTAGGCGGCCGGGCTGCATCTTCCGCAGTCTACGGCAGGAGGAGACGCGGTGGGAGGGCGTCCGTGTGCGGTGGCATGTCCAGCGCTAACTGTTTTATTCGCTCGTGCTCGTCCGCAGCTGGGGTGGAAATTTCTTCAACGGAGATAATTTTTGCAGGGCCGGATTCTTAAAAATGAGGCAGCTTGGTCGAACAGAAGATTGAAAAGTACTTTCTAAATTTGTGTCAAGGGGTTTGTCCAAAAATTCTTGCAGACGAAGTGATCTCTGGTTGACTAATCGTCTGAATCCGCGTGGAGAAAAGGGTCCTAATGTCCAGGAAGCAGCTTCAGTATGGTAGAAGCTTCAAAATATCCACTTGTGCGGGATTTTGTTAGACCAATACGAATCGATCTTGTTTCGCCTTCGTGAGCGTATACAATAGTGGTCTCTTTGGTGATCACGCCACAAAGAATTTTGCTTCAAGCGCCGTTTGCTCTGCGCTCCTGGCTCTGCATAAACCTTCACCACGTCCAACACGCAGGCCGGGGGGGCGATAGATGTCAAAGTTGACTCGCCGGCCAGAGTGTAGGTGACACCTCAACACGCATCATGATGAGCTTGTGTGCGCTCCGAATCTCTGCCAAGGAGTATCTGCGATGCCTAGCATTGTTGCCGACACCAAATGTGGCATTGTAGTCATCCTGCAAGACAGTGACGACACCCGAAAAAATAAAATTTGTATAAAGAATAGTGATTATTAAAAGCAGAAATTTAGACAAATTTCATACAACGTGTTGGACTCCTTTTTAACTTCCAAAGAATATTTGAAAATATGTGCCGCGACCAACCTTACCGTTGCATAAGAATTCTAAAAATTCGTCCGATCGAGTACATCTTTTCAAAAATTCGTTCAAACAAAATCAATTTTTAAAAAATTCTTTGATATCAATTGAGCGAATATTTAAATTCTGATCGCGACCGGACGAATTTTTATAATTCCTACACAACGGCAAAGTTGGAATGCGAACACTTTTTTAAAAAATTCGTTGCAAGAATTTTCAAAAAATTTGGAAAAAGTGAGTTTGCCGTTGAAGGAAAGTTTTAAAAGTGATTCGGATTTCCCGTTTCCCCCCTACAGAATTAAATACTTACAAGCCTTATCGGACGACGGAGTTTTTCGGTTGACGATCGAAACGAGCTCCATGTTTTCGCTCTGACCAGGGCAAGGGTTGACGGCGTAATGACAAATTTTAAACTAAGATGTAAACTGTTTGTTGCAACAATAGAATCGGTGTAACGGCTTTTCAGTGCCTATGATGGCGACACCCTCAACAAAGCAGCCAGTGCGGAAAAAAATTAATTTGTTGCATCCATAGATCTTTTTGATGTAGCTATTTACATTTGAAATTTTTTGGAACTCTTGCTGAAGCGATAATGAATCGAGGCGCGCGTGTAAAACACCGACGATTAGAAATATAAAATATTGACAAAAACCTTTTTAGCGGAAAAAGTACATACATACTTCTCAAATTAAATGTGCGTAGAAGTAAAATGTTTTTTTAATGATTTATTTATTTAATATTTGATTTATTTTATTTGTTTGTTCATTTATTTATTTAATTCATTATTTGTTAACCAAGCTCTGGTCAGGATCTAACGATCAACGATCTTACAATTAATTTTATGTTGACGATATTACGATTCATACTTTTAGTCGGCCTGAAGAGGACAATTAAATCAAAATATATTGTTCAAATCACGGACACCAGTTTTATGTTTTTTGACCTCTAATGGAGGAGGCTAGCACTACTACATAACTACTATATATATAGCTCTCTTACTCTTGACCGCAAGAGCTGAATTGTGAACGGAAAGACGTTCCATTTTGGAGACTCGAGTATTTAGTAATTATATTACATAAAAAACAGGATTTGTTCTGCGAGCTTATTTTAGGCGGTCTCACGTACACCACTTGCGCGTTCTCAATAATAAAATTTTCTCACGCGGTCGTCACCCAAAACACGCAAATGATGGCCCGCTCTGGGTCTGCACATTTGGCAAAATCATATTATGTCTATGAAAGAAAGCAAAGAAATAGCCAATTGTTGCAGGAATACCAGTTTAGATAAAATGTGACTATTGTATAATTGTCGATATCCGAATGTATAATTTTTTTAAGGAAATTGGATAGTTAAATAAACGTCACTCAAATCAAAATCCATCATTGGCATGACTTGTGGAATTTTGCTTATTTTTCCATTTTCGCCCCATTGCTTCTTAACAGGGGGCGAAGGTAATGTCCGGTGGTCAAAAACAGGTAAAAATCCACGTTTTTCTACCTTCTTTTACGCGTAACTTTCCATTTTGCAAAGTGAACTATAATTTTCTAGATAGCTTTCGATTCGCAAGATGTTAAAAGTATTCTATGAAAGCAAAAAAATTAACTCTCCTGTCATTTTAAATATTTAAATCTCAAAACATACCCCTCACATGAATAAAGTTTTTAGGCATTTCTATTCAAAAATATATAACATGATTTGTTTGAAAATTACATTTCTAATTAATAATATGAGGTACATGATGAGATCAAACAAGCAACAGAAATTTTAGATTGTATAACTTAGGGTCGTTTTATTTGGTAACATAGCTTGAGTATTCTCAAAATGACCAGAGCTTTTTGATGGCACAATAATATGACTTGTCGGTGGTTGCCGTGTGAAAGTAAAAGAGCGCCAAAGTTTACTTCAGCTTCTTCTTGGGCCTCAGATTGTTAGTGTGTCCGCACTTCTTCTTGCGGCAGTTGGTGGCCCTCGGGTGCAGTCTGGCATAGCACTTGCGGCAGATCATCTTGTCGCAGTTGTAGCGCATGGCCAGGATCCTCAGGGTGGGCTCGATCACACCTCCACGAAGACGCAGCACCAAGTGCAAGGTCGACTCTATTGACAACAAAAATTTTTTGATTAAAATTCAGTTTTCACATGAATAAGTGATTTTATTTAATTTATTTTTTCAGATTAATGAATTAATATCACAGACATTCAAAAGTGTCCTAAGGCAATTAGTAAAATCATCATTTTAATAATGCAAACTTCACGGATTTTTTTTATAATTTAAAATTTACCTTTCTGAATATTGTAATCAGACAGGGTGCGACCATCCTCGAGCTGCTTTCCAGCAAAGATCAAGCGTTGCTGGTCTGGAGGGATGCCTTCCTTGTCCTGAATTTTAGCCTTGACATTTTCGATGGTGTCGGAAGGCTCGACCTCAAGGGTGATGGTCTTTCCCGTCAAAGTTTTCACGAAGATCTGCATGCTGGTAGCCTGAGAATAAAAACGAACTTGTGAATAAAATTGTGTGATTCCGGCCGACGCTTTGATCGTGCGGGGGTGCTTTAGGGCAAGCATGGCGCCGAAGCCACATGCGGCCTCACCGCATTTGATTTCCTCAATTTTCAGCTACATAGTGTTAAAATCACTCAAATTTCATAAGTGTCCTAAGGCTTAGTACAAAAATCATCATAATATTGAGAAATAAGCTGAAAAAAGTGGAAAAATTGGATGAAAAATGCAAATTACCTGCAGACAACGTGGACTAGAAAAACCTCTCCGCTGAAGACAAGAAAATACTGATAATTCTCCAACTCGACACTCGCGGCGCTGAAAGCAGCAGTGGCACGGCGGGAATTCTATTCAAACTTGGTTTGGCGCGAGGGGAAAGTGCATCGCGTATTGCGCTGAGCTCTGAGCCTCTGAGCGCAGTTAAAATTCAAAAGCATTATTATTAAAATATATTCATTTTAAACAAAACAAGATAAAGGAGTTATTCTGATTTTTTTTTCTATTTTGTAGAACACGTTGTACCCGAAACCAGAATTTTTTATATTTTTCTATTTTCTATTAACCGCAGCTATTAACTGTTATTTTGAGCAATGAAAATGCAGAAATTTTAAAATGGAAAAAACCTTCCTTTTTTTTATGCCATTTTTTTTTTAATTTTTGCAGAAATATTAGAATGGTTTAAATCCACTTTTTTTATTGATATTTACAATTAGTCTGAATTTAAAAATGGATATAATAATAATTTTGACCGATTTTGACTTTTTAAACTAATAACATAGAAGCATCTTCTACATTAATAAAACACTTAGACTATAAGATTTGGAATTTCCATTATAATTGATTTAAAATTCTCCTACATTATTTATTTTTAACGATTTTTAAATACATGGGACAAATGGGATACTCCAGGTTTTACAAGAGTGAATAGAATAATTCGTTTTCATATTGACATGATTCTTTATTGCTAAAACAACAAAACATCTCGCTTTTTCCTTTCCATTTTTGAATATAAGAAATATACAACCAGTTATTTTCATAAAGTTTTTGACAGTGCCAATCATGCGCGCCCCGCTATTTAAGCGCTTGGACATGCATAATTTAATTTATAATTAATTAATTGGAGCTGAAAAAATAATTAAAAAAAATTAGTGCAAGCCCAAATAGAACTCGCAGTTTCGAAGACCAGAATTTCGTTTCAGAAATGAGCAACAGTTTTGCCAATTTTCTTGCGGTGTTTAAAATTGTAAATTTTGAAAGGCAAAATCAATCATCTTTCATATCAATAATCACAATACATTCTGAGCCCGTCAGAGTTCCTCATTCGATCCTTCGCACTTTTTTTTTATATCGCTTTATATCACCCTCTTCTTTTGAAAGAGACAAAATTCAACTTTTTAATTATTCTAGTAGAGAAACATCCAGAGTAATACTGCACAATAATACTTATATATTGCATTTTCCCAACTGCAAATAAAAAAATGAGAGAGTAAAAAAGAAACGCGGCGAAAGAGTTATTTGACAGTGGGCTGCCTCAAAAAATTTCTTGTGTATATGTCAGAAAAGAGTTTTTCGATCCGACGGTGCTTAGCACCCACTTGCTGCGATTCTCAATACACATAATTAAATATTCATAAACAAAAATATGCTGCCATCCTATTGTAGGACTCTATACTGACTTCTACAAAAGAATGGTGGGTAAAAGGGTTTGATCCTGACTACTATAATATTAATAATTACAGGGACAACATCACAGTTACATTATATAAGAAGCAGAACTAACAGTTTTGAGAAGAAGTTTTTCTTATTCTTTTGCCTTTTATCACTTCTTCTTTATCTATTGTAAATGATCCAGTGCGCACCAAATTTGGCCATGTGTCGCCATCAGCTTTGCTCCATTGTCAACTTAGGTGCCCTTACATTAGGGCCTACAATTTTTCACCTCTTTTAATCTTAAGCCGTTTCAAATAATTTGACCGTTCTCTTAATTGAAATCTTCACTATTGAAGCATGGTTTAGAAATTCTAATTTTTTTCACAATGTTTTTTCCTATCTCTCAATTCAGTTTTTGGACTTTTCAACCTGATCACCTTCCCGAGGTGCTACAATTTTCTTTCGTCACAGTACTTTGAGGCTTAATTATCGACATGGATTAAATATTACAGATTCCTTTCCAGAGTTAGTTGTGTGTATTATTTAATCAGACTATGACTATTATAGTTTCATGATTAGTTTTCCACAGCAGATGGACTGACGACGCCACTCTTGTCAAATTTAAAGTCTCTCGTTTCAAGTTAATATGTGAAAGTGCAGCTGTTATTGTGAATTTGAAATCAATTGAATACTTATTTCACCAAGTAAACATCTCATACTCATATCTTTTGCTAAAAACTACATAAGTACAGATTGTGATTGATCGGCGTTTTTCATATTAACATTACATATTTTTCTACCAACTGGCTAAGAAAGCACAAAGCGCTGATTTTTAATTTTTGACACTCAACAGCTATAATGCAAATGAAAGTGTTTGCTACTAGAAATGTATCTTTTGTAAACTCGGTGACACGCCTTAATCAATCTTTGTGTTATTTTTGGTGCAGATTATTGTAACAAGTTGCGATTTAGAATTTTGAAGGGTTCTTTTAATGGAATGAGAGTGGATAGTAAGAAAAATTTGTTCAAAATGGAAATTATTTGCGCCAGGCAAAGCCTAATTTACAAGTGAATAAACTTAAACTGTATTCAACATGACCATCTGGCTATTGAAATCCATAAAAAGCTTTTTCAAAACACTGATAATTTTTAAATGATCAAAAAACATGCTCAACACTTTCCAACATTAGTTTCTATAAAAAACTTGGCCTCATTTTGGCTGACTGTATGTTTTATCTGGACGCCTTATGAAATCCAGTCACAAGTGCGCTTCCTGAAAACTACAAACTAGGCGTGGGAAAAAATTAAAATTAATTAAATGGGCGGACACTTCTTCCGTATATGTACTGACTAAAATCATAAACTGATGGCTCGGCAACGAATAATACAAAAAACCAATTGCGCAGTTTTCACAAATGAGAGTCAAAAATGCATAAGAACAATAGGCAGTACATATATTCATATAATATGTGCATTCTGTGTATTCAGTATCTCCAATCGAGAAGGCACTTGCCGATACTAAGTGCTGATTTTTTCCTCACAATTATGTTTTATGCACGCTGTCCACAATAGACTTTTAATTCACGGTACTGATGTAACTGAGCTTGTTTGTTTTATCGTTATTGATGTGTGTGATCAGAGAGATATTTTCTTTGACAATCAATGACTTTGATACATCATATTTCAACCTTTGTACAAATGCATTAAATTTAAAATCGCTTTTGAGTATTTTTCTTCTCCTCCTTGCTACACTCTTAAAATTACAAGATTCTAATGCTTCAACACATTAGAACTAAGTATCTACAATTTGTCATCACTCCACACAAAATATATCGCATTATTATTAACAACTAGTTTTTAGTAGTCATTATTACTCGTCTAGTTTTGCAGTACCCTAGGTGTGATTTTTCTCTAGAACTACGTTCAGTCGTCTAACACCTCCATCTTGAATATTCTCCTCGGTGGTCGTAAGTGGTCATCCGGAGAATCATCGACTTCTTGACTGTTGGGGTAGTCGTGGTACTCATCCATCTGGAAATTCACATTAAATTTAATTTGACGTCAAACAGAAAAATAATAATTATTGCTACTAAAAGTAAGTTAAAAACTACAAAACAGAAATGTCACTTTTGGTTTGGATTCTCCATGCAGTTGAAAAATAGAACTTCTCATTCAATTTTAATTTTGCTTGAAATACTAAAACAATTATCAATTTTCTGACGCTGCTATTTGTTATCGCATGCACTTTTGAAAAATATTAATATATATGCAACATGTATGCTGATTTTTATAAAGTTGAAAAAAGTCTAGAAGGAACATAAGATATCGTGCAATTTGAACGTATCAGTAAGTATTGAAAATACCTCAACTTCATCGAACTGTGCAGATAAAGTGATAAAGTGCCGAAGATATAATTTGAATATGGAAATAAAAAAAATTACGTGTTAGTTTTACTCAAAAATAATAAAAATTGGTGCACCCTCTTGAATTCATGGATATTGTGGAATCCAAAAAGGCGCACATTAGTATAAAAACACCAACCAAATTTTTCTAAGATCTTTCTAATAGTTAGATCAAAGTTTTATGCCAAAATCATTAATCTAAATGTCTTTATGAGATTTTTTCTCTTCAATATCTTTAATTTGTTTGTAAAAATCGTATTAAAGTGTGCAGTTTTACACATAAGTGCGAGTATATTACAGCTCAAGAGCATTTGGATTATTCTTTTATTTAACGAGTATAATGAAGCAAAACTCACATCAACATCTGCCATCATTTCTCTGGTTGAAGCAGTGGTGTCGATCCTCCTGATTGCTCCCTGGTGGATGTCCGTGTCCAACTTGAGACACTGGAATCGCCTGAGCAAGAACACCGCAGGAATTGGCAAAACACCAACTGCAATGATGCAGATGGCGATCACCATGACCCAGTCTGGGTAAACTGTTGAAACTGTAGTTCCCTGAAGGAGAAAATTAAGAAAATGCCAATGTAGTTGCACGGAAAAAAGTTAAAATCATACTGTTGTGGCGTCCCAGGCTGAGTAGGTTGGCCGGTGCATAATCTTGTGCAAAATCGAAGCTGTGAGGATGCAGGTCATAATGATGGGGCCCAGGTAACGCCAGGTAATTTGCCAGTAAAGGCCAGGGCGGTAGCCAGTCATGTCGTAAATGTCTTTTGTGAACCTGGAAAACAAATAGTTTGATTAATTCAGTCGTTTTATACTCAATTTTCTTTAGTAAATTTAACATGATACGGAAGAAAAAAATAATTCAAAATATCACTCATTTTGTTTAATTGGAAGCTCGAAATTTAATTAAGTCATATAAAATTAGTACCTAATTAAAACTTACTTTTCGTGGCCGTAGATATACATGACAGCAATCATCTCAAGGAGGGCGATCACAACTAGACCTATTGTGCCAGCGAAGGAATCAAACAGAGACAACCAGTATTCTCCGGCACCAGTGCAGAAAATAAGCCCGACGAAGAAACAAATGATGCAAACTCCAGCTGTGAAAATAAAGGAATTATGCTACGCATATAATTATTTCCACAAATCGAACCTGTCAAGTATTGCTTCGGTATCCTCTCCCTGAAGAAGTCAATGTCAAAAATTGTGCACAACATCCCCTCCAAAATTCCAATTTGAGATCCAAGACCCAGCGAGAGCAGCATCAAGAAGAAAATAATGGCCCAAAACGGTGCTCCCGGAAGCTCGACAATGGCTTGTGTGAAAACGATGAAGGCCAGACCAGTGCCCTCTGCAGCCTTAAATTAACAAAAATTAATTATGCATTATTTAAAAAAGATCAAGTTAAAATCAGGTTAAATTGTATCTAATAAAAAGATAATTTATTTTTAATGTCACAAATTAACGTTTTAAATATTTCAAACAAAATAATGGTTAATTTTTAGTTAATTTTATAATTACCTGATCCAGCTCCCTTTCGAGACTGCACTCATGCATTTTCCACGTGTGCAAGACGGTTTCGTTAAGAGTGGACATGACCTGCTCGTAAACTTCGGTGCTGACATTGGGGGCACTTATCAAGTGGTGCTCAAACATCCGTTCCATGTTGCTGTAAAATAATTATTTCTTATTATATTTAAAAGTTCTATCGAAACAGATGAACTTTACTGTTCAATGCATCTGTCAACATTGGCCATAGCTTTGAAGCCAAGGATGGAGAAAATGACAACGCTGGCGTAAATGGCTGTGACTGCATTAGTGATGGACACAAAAACCACGTCTCGGACACAATTGTTGTTCTGCTGGTTGTAACTGCCAAAGGCAATCAAAGAGCCAAAGGCGAGTCCAAAGGAGTAAAATACTTGTGTGGCGGCGTCGAGCCACACAGTCGGATTTAATAATTTTTCAATCTGCAAGAGTTTTAAAAATTAAAATCAGCAGATATAAAGGGATTTTGAATTTTAAAGATAAGAATTGAATAAATTTAATTGAACAATTAAAAAAAAACATACTTTAAATAAAAATTAGTCGTTGTACCTTGGGCGTATACATGTGAATGAGCCCAGCAGCCGCGCCCTTCAATGTGATGCCTCTTATGAAGAAGATGGTCAGCACTACGTACGGGAAGAGCGAAGTGAAGTACACGACCTGTGGATTATGCAACCGGCGCGTCGTCAGTGAAGAGCACTTGGTATCTCAACGCATTTTGCTCACCTTGCCAGAAGACTGGATGCCTTTCATCACGATGAAGAAGACAACGGTCCAGGCGAGCAGCAAGCACAGGACGATCCACCACTTGAGGCCGCCGCTGTCATCCATCGACGGCGACACGTCCAGGGTCTGCCTGTACCAGAAGTAGGCTGTCTCTGAACTAAGCTCGCACTCCTCCACTTTGGTTCCATTTGCTGTCAATGGACATTCTGCCCACGGCAAAGGATACTGAAAATTGATATTCATACATAAGACATTACAGCTTAAAATTAAAGAAGATTGAGAAACATATTTAATGTTGCAAGTTTTATGCAACCTGGCAAAAAATTCTTCTGTTTGTAGATGTTTAAAATTACCAACTGACTTTTTTTTTGTCAAAAATAATCTAATAAGCATAAAAAAAGATAATTAAGTTTTGAATGAAAATATGTGGCATAATTTAATTTCCATTGCATTGGTTATTTGCAATAATAATTTTTGTCTGCAATTTAAAAAAAAAATTGATACAAATCGTACCATAGTAAATAGTGGTAAATAGTAAGACGAAGTAAAACTTTAATTTTCAGCGAAAAAATGCTCATAAATATTCAGCTAAAAATTTAGAGTACCAATTAAAGCAAACAAAAATTATAAAAAAAATATCGTTTTTATAATCACAATTGTGTAAAAAAAATAGCAGGGAAACTTTGATTTTTCTTTCAAATTGAAATTGAAAATGAATTCAAATAACTTTTTTCCCACTTAAATCAATATATCATTAAATTTAATTAAAGATCTAGCTAAAATGTTTTTTTTTTCATATTTGTTGGAATTAAAAATTGTTATCAAGAGCAACACAAAGTAAACTAATATATTAATTAATTTGTTCACTTCCTACTTCATTTTACGACGATGGTGAAATATTTGAGTAAAACAATTTCCTTCATTTATTTATGCAAGCTGTGCAAATATTTGCAAAGCTGGAATGTGCGCGCGCTCTATCTCACCTGGAACGAGTTGAACAAATAGTAGAAGCACCAGGTGATGATAACGTTGTAATAAAGGGCCACAAAGAAAGTGACCACGCAGCTGGCAATGCCCAGTCCTCCGAGCCAGGGGTGCACAATGTTCCACACGCCGAGGGCGCCTAACCGCTGCTTCTGGCCAATGCCGATTTCAACCAGGAACAAAGGGATGCCCTCGAGGATGAGCATGATGAAAAACGGAATCAGAAACGCGCCTAAAACATACAATAAAATTGGATGATTAGCAAGCAAACTTGTATAATTATGATGGTTTCCTTATTGATAAAATAATGTCCCGAAATTTTCATATTTATGTCATTTTTTTGTTCAACAAAACCCAAAAATAGGCTTTTTTTATAAGAAATTATTATCTTCCTGGAGTCAGTTATAAAAGTTTTTTTTTAATTAATTAATCTAGTGAAAGATTTTAAAAATATTTTCAGAAAAAAACAGCCAATTTTGATCTCAAAATTTACAAATCACGTTTCAAATGCTGAGTGAAATAAAATTTGTTTATGGTCTTAAATTAAAGTTAATCAAAAGATTGCTGTCAATATGGTAAGATGGCTAGAGCAATAAGGACTCTTTAAAATAAGTGATCTCTCGTTATTTCGTCACCACTTATAAATGATTTTCAATCAAAGGGTGAAAGCAATTGTGTGTTCAACTGCAAAACCCGATCCCCATTCAACAAAGACAAGGCCTTGAAATGAACAAATCAATGCCATTAAACAATATATGTAGCCAGTCAATGCTGATTAGATGATTACTTTGGATATTCTGCCAGAGGTGAGCGAAAATAAATTATTATTATTATTCGACGGCGCTGCGAAATTTAACGAGCAATTCACTCGCTCATGTGTGGGTAATGATCCCTCGAGAATCACACCGAGGCTGCAGCTGCCTCACTCTCGAGCAGCACAATTCGCACACGAGCCAGTGAGCAACTAGACTTGAAAGAGCGCATTAGAATATAAACGAGATTTTCTTCCGCGAACATGAATATTTCAGGCGATTGCAAATGCCTGAAATAGGCAGTCAACTCATTTTGATTGGATTTTTTTCTATGATATTTCCAGGAAATGCAGTGGAAAAAAATCCATAAAATATTGTCCAACGTCATTATTCAGTATTTGAAAAATCTCTCAAACAGGAAATCTTTGTTTAAACAGGAAATGCAATATTTTCATTAGTATTGGTCATGGTCAAAAATGATATGAAAAAATAACCATGTAAAATTTTTTCAATCATTACTAAAATTAAACGCGGTTTTATTAACAGAAAATTCCCAAAATAATTATTTTCATTTGGTGCAAAATTGATGAAATTGAAGTATTAAACTTTTATAATTTTCTTTTTTTTTGCTCATTTTTAAATAAAGAAATAAGAAATATTATTGTTTACTTAAATTATTCATTGCATCTTTTTATTTTAGTCATTCAATAAATAAAAATAATAATGGGTGCAATTTATTAATCATAAATAAATAACATTGGATCAAAATATAACCCGGATCGATTTCTATCAGGAAACCATCTTTATTTTTAAAACAGCCTTTTAGTCTATTGCACGAGCTAGGCTATTTTCGTGTCATTTGCATGTCGGAAGAGAGCGATCATTTGCATGGCTCGGCAGGAGACAAAGGGCTTAAGGCGGCTCGAGCATCTCATCTCTTGTGTGTTTCGTCTCCAGAACAGAATGACAGAAAAAACAACAGGAAACCGGTTCGCGGAATGCTTTCGTATTAATTTTTTGCCCCCATTCATCCTCCCCGCGAGAGAGAAAGAGACGCTCTCGCGCACAAAGGCTTGTTTAATTGCAGCGCGTCCAGACACAAGAGAGCGAAATGGACCAAAAACGCATGCGTGTGTTAAATGACGATCCATAAGGCGACGAGGATCGCCTTGGTGACGTTTTTAATTGGTTGGTCACGATAAATAATAAAATAGAATTATGTGATAATGAGCATAAAAGAGTTCAAGGGAAACGACGAAAGGGGATTCCCTCGTGGCAAGGTGAGATGCACTTTGCCTTTGCATGCGGTTTTGAGTTACGCCTGTCGGGTCGCCACAACTTGTCATAAAAAAACGGAACACCGGAAAAATTATAGATAAAAAATTAATTATAAGATATTGGCTGAAATGGCAGGAAACCTTTGTTAGAAATGTAAGTTGAAAACTGTGAATTATAAATTTTTTTTAAGAACATACATAATTACATAGTATATTTTTATCTAATTTGAAATATATGAACTGAATTTTAAACCTAATTTATTTCGCCATTATACAAATACAGTTTAAACATCCGATTAAAAATAAATTTTTTTTTAATTTGTGGACATCGATTTACAATTCATGCAGCAAATAAGTATTAAATTAAACTTTTAAAAACTTTTAAAAGGATTGAAGAAGTAATCTTTTTTTCAGATTATTGATTAAAAAACAAAAGGTATTTTTCTTTGAAAATTCAGCTCATATAATTCTTTTTAATAAAACGTGGGATCCCGCGGCTGTCGTGGGTTGCTGGTGCACATCAGCAAAGGGCTGCGCGCGCGACAACAAGCGCCGTGTTCGGCCGCAACCGGCAACACGACGCGCGGCCGCCAGTGGAAAATTCCATTCCTACGTCAACATTCTGCTCGGCACCAGGAGGAATGAACCAGGAGGCACCGATTTAGACCATTTTACAACTGCGGCCCCTCTTCCTTGAGCCGCGGCGCCACTCGGAATGACTAACGAGAGCTAAAAAAATGCAAGCACGCGACGCGGTCCTCTACTTTCCGGGACACGGAATATATAAATGTAAAATTAAAACTAAATGCGCGCCGTGCCAGAATTATTTCTGGAGTCAAAAAGAAGGAGCCAAGCTATGTGACTTTTGCGCCGGTTTTGCGATAATTTGGTGAGAGAATTCGCAAGGACAAGAATAAACTTGGTGCATGTGTGACTTTTAACGTTTCATGAGAAGTTCTTATTTATTAAGCATTGAAAACGAGATCAATTGGATTAAAAACATTTTGATTGAATTTAATTTTTTTTTTAAAATGATAAATAAATGCTGATTTAAATTTATATCCCAGCAAGTTGAGGGAACAGTAGCATCTGGTTGACTAAAATAGGTCAAGTCGGGTCAAGTGTTTTTTCAGTAGTAAATAAATAAACACAAGATTAAGATATTAAAAATCGCTAAAATTGAATAAAGAGAAAAAAAAGTAGAGAAAAAAAGTTAATATCTTCTGATTGTATTGAACAATTATTGAATTTTGCCACAAATCAGTTCTCAGTTCCACTTTTAAAAATGTTTTAATGGTGCAAACAAAGTAAAAATTAATTTTAATCGAAGAAAAATATAGAAAACTTCCAAAAATTCTTCAATTACAATTTAATCCAGGCTTAATCATGTCATCCAAATAAAAAAGTTGGAAAGACCAAACAAAAAGGAAAATCTCCAACTTTGACTTCTTATATCGTGAGGAAACCACATCAATTTCATCTAATTTCATTTATCTCCTCGTTTCCACCACTCAATCCTTTCATTTCCTCGCAGAGATTTCCGTCTTGTGTTGGTGACAAAGGCACGCCACTATGCATGTAAGAGCAACAAGATTAGGCGTGCGCGTCGCGATTGGGATTTTATTTGCGCCACTCTGGCCCACTCACTAACTTGATTTAAAGGAAAGTGCTAAGAGGTGGCGTGTTGCCCCTTCAAATAAGATCGTTAACGTATGTTGTGTGAATGTGTCGCTGGCTAGGCTTTCAGCTTCTACACACATGTCCTATGGATAGACAAATAAAAGTGTGTATACCCAAGCAAGTGCTCACACACATGTACATACAATCAAGTAGTGTGCGTAATTGTTTGGAGTGGGGAAACCCACACTCTATGTCAATGAAATTCCAATGCAATGAATGAAACTACACGTTCTTTGGAATCAATTATTATCAACAAATAAGTCAATACTGTGACCTAACTTTTTTCATAAAAATTAAAAAAATATATAATATATATTTAAAAAAAGCAATTAAAAAAAATCTGAAATTGAAACTGTCTATCATAATTTTATAATAAAAAGTTAAGTTCAAATAACTAAAGATTCTTTCTTTGGAAAAAATTTAAATATAGCTGAGAAAATGGGAACGTCATATTGAAAGAAAAGGGAAAATTTATGTTCTAAACCGCGTATATCCTGAGGTGCTAGATAAAAAGTGGGGTAAAAAAATTATCGCCGTGAAAAGTAAGACGCAGTTTAATTTCCTTTTAAAGAGATAAAATTTTAAAAGCGTAGTGTCGTTTTTTTTTAATTAAAGTGCTTTTTAATGATTAACGAGAGATCATTCCTGGAATATTTCGTTAGGAGCTCAGCGTCTTTGAGCTTTTTACACAAGTTTTGACTCGAAGCACTCATTTTCGCTGTTGCTGTCTCTGCGGGCGTCGCGTCGTCGCCACGCACAATTTCAATTTACGACCAGGTGTCGTATGATGCAATTCTTAAAAAAATCCCTCCTGCAGGAAAGAACGGCTTGAGCGATAACGCCTCCTTCTTTGCTTTTAATTTATTCAAAAGGAAAAATCTCCAATTCATAATATTCGAGCTCGTCCGGCACACGCGCGTTTCCTTTCCCCGGTTATTGCTTCTCGCGGGGCAAATATTGAACATGCACTATTTCGGGATTATGTGCCCGCTATTTCTGGCCGCGCGGCCAGAATTAATTTATTTGCACACGCGGTGCTTCTGCAAATAAAGAGAGTCGGTTAATCAAAACTTGAACTTGAAGTGTCAGAGCCATTGTCAATTCTTTTGAGCTTCATAACGAGTATTTTTAGTCCGTTCCAGCAATTATTATAATCCGAATAATCTTAACCCTGGCTTGATTTCCTTTTCGAAGTTTATTTTTTCATTGTTTCGATCTATTTTTATTTTTTAATTCTAAACTTTTGAATCTTTTTATTTCTTGCAGTCTTTATTTATGATGAGCTTTTTAATGATACAATCTCGCTCTTAGCACTGATAAAAAACTTGCACTTTTGCTTCGACGGCTTCGTACAAATTATGGCAAAGCCAGCCACCGTTAATCACTGAGACTTTGCCGCCTTTTGCGCATTTCACGTTAAGAAGGACCCAGATTGAATCTTTTGAGCTCGGGCGAGTCAGCAGCTTGAAGGCTCTTCTTTAAATATTTTGAAAAGGCAGTCTGCCTGTCTTCACCGCTCTATT